CTTTCTTTCTTTCTTTTTCTCTTTTCTTTCTTTCTTTCTTTCTTTCTTTCTTCAGAAGCTGCCATCTTACCGAAGTTTCTCTGATCATCTTCCAGGAAAGCTTTTCCTTCCTTCCTTCTTTCCTTCCTTCTTTCCTTCCTTCCTTTCTTTCTTTCTTTCTTTCTTTCTTTCTTCAGAAGCTGCCATCTTACCAAAGTTTCTCTGGTCATTTTCCAGGCAAGCTTCTTTCTTTCCTTCCTTCCCTCTCACTATCTGTCTCTCTTTTCTTTCTTTCTTTCTTTCTTTCTTTCTTCAGAAGCTGCCATCTTACCAAAGTTTCTCTGGTCATTTTCCAGGCAAGCTTCTTTCTTTCCTTCCTTCCCTCTCACTATCTGTCTCTCTTTTCTTTCTTTCTTTCTTTCTTTCTTTCTTTCTTTCTTTCCTTTCTTCCCTTTTCTTCTCTTTCCTGTTTTTTTCTTCCTTCCTTTCTTCCATATCTCTTTCTCTTCTTTCCTCCCTTTTTGCTTTCCCTTTCTCTCTTCATTGTTCTAGTTCTAAAAGAGAGGACCCAGTTGCAAGTGACTTTTCCCAGTGACCTTGTAACTGAATGGTGTCCTAAATGGATGGCTGTTAGTCGAAGGCTAAGGTTAGTCGTATCACCTCCAGCTCACCGCTGGTTCCTTTCTCTGACTCATCCCAAAAAATGGTACGAAACGTCCCTGACTTACGACTGTTCATTTAGTGACGGTTTGAAAGTAGAGCACACTGAAGTGTGTTTGCAGTCATATTTTTTTTTAGACCTGAGAGCACTGCAGCATCCACGAGGTCAAAATTCAGGTGCCTCGTATTTAGCCGTTGCCAGAAAACGGGGCAAACATCTCCCGCCTCGCTTAGCAACAGAAATTGTTGTGGTTGTAAGTTGAGGACTAGCTCCAGTTTCACTTAGGAGGTCCAACCTCGACTAACGTTGCCTTTTTTTTCTTTTTTGGGGGGTTGCTTCTGCAGAAGGACGCCAAAAGGAAGAACTCCGAAACCAAAAAAACTGCCTCTTTCTCCGAAGTATCGAAGGGGAAGGCATGGGCTTTGAGTACGCCATGTTCCTGAAACCTTCGGAGAGGAGGGTGGCGGCCGTCTTCCAAATAGGGCCCTACCTCGAGGGGCCTTCGGGGTGAGCCTTAAAAAAAAACAAAAAACAGTTTAAATAATTCAGAGTATAAATCAGAATAGAAGGGATCTTGGAGGTCTTCTAGTCCAACCCTCTGCTCAAGCAGGAGACCCTCTACCGTTTCAGACAATTGGCTCTCCAGTCTCCAGTGATGGAGCAACTCACAACTTAACGGAGGCAACTTCTGTTCCACTGATTAATTCTCCCTGTTATTAAGTTTTTCCTTAGTTCCAGGTTCTTTCTTTTCTGTCCTGATGCTTTCTGGTGCTCTGGAAAATAAGGAAACGAAGATTCTGCAGGTTTCATCTTCTTCTTGATTGCTATTCTATCAAAAGGTGGCTCTAATATAATTCAGAGGGACTCGGTGGCTTAGTGGCTAAGACGCTGAGCTTGTCAATCAGAAAGGTCGGCAGTTTGGCGGTTCGAATCCCCAGCGCCTAGCAGTTCGAGAGCACATAAAGAATGCGAGTAGAAAAATAGGAACCACCTTTGGTGGGAAGGGAACAGCGTTCCGTGCGCCTTCGGCATTGAGTCATGCCGGCCCACATGACCAAGGGAAACGTCTTCGCACGGCGCTGGCTCTTTGGCTTTGAAACGGAGATGAGCAGCGCCCCCTAGAGTCGGGAACGACCAGCATCAATATGCAAGGGGAATCTTTACCTTTACCTGTGGCACATTCCCATCCTATTTCAGTAAGAACACGGGAGTAAAACACGAGACACAGAATATAAAATTTGAAATCTTAACAGGACGATTAGAAACGTCGTTCTAAGCTGCAAAAATACGTTTGTGTGTGTGTGTGTGTGTGTGTGTGTGTTTATATTTAAGTTCATTTCTTGTAGCTAGGAAATCTTCACTTAGAGGTTCTGTTTCTGTCTCTGTGCCATTCAGCGATACTAAACTATTGTTCTATTCCTTTCAATGTCATCAGCCGTCCAGCATCATCTGGTGATGAGGTGGAGGCAAATCAATTTAATAAATAAATAGAAGTTTAAGGTAAAGATTCCCCTTGCATATTGATGCTGGTCGTTCCCGACTCTAGGGGGCGCTGCTCATCTCCGTTTCAAAGCCAAAGAGCCAG